ATTAAATTCATGAATCCCCTGCAGTTCCTTTATGAACCCCAGTTTGGAAAACCTTGATGTAATATAAATGTTTAATGCACTTCATGTTGATAATTACAATTAATGGAATATATTTTCTTGCTCTTTGTATTTTTACATCATTAAGGTACAAGATTATCCTATTTAAATCAATGTGATAAATGAGTTTGGTCAAAATTAATCCAAAAGTAATCAAAAAGTAGTCTGATTACATTACCTAAAATGTGTAATGTAATGGATTACGTTACTAACTACAATTTGTCATGTAATTTGGAATCAGTAACGGATTACAATTTGTAAGTAATTTACCCAGCTCTATACATGCATGTATGTATATATATATATATATATATATATATATAAAATGTGCACAGCAGGTTGGTATTTTAACAATCAGTTAATTAAATGTATTTTTTTTGTTGACTAAATTCAAGTACAATCTGTAAAACTTTTTTTAACGTTTATTTCATTATGACACTTCAAATCAGATGAAGATGTTGGTTATTTGATCTCACCTTCTTGAAAGATGTCAGCAGCTTCAAACTAACATAACCCATCTTATTTCTTTGGACATGTTTTAGCAGGAAAGCATCATCTGCTAGATTCTCATCAGAAAGGTAGTTCTCCAGCTGGGCAGCAATTTTTTTGTGTCAAATCATCATTTGGAGGAATCCAGAGTTCACCATCACAGAATTCCTCCTCAAAAACATCGGTCAACTCAGTTGAACTCCTGAAAAACAGTTTTGTCATATATTTTCAAAAACATCTCAAACTTATCCATTAACTTACCCGTCCAAACTATCATTTAGCCCATCATCAGTGTATGAGAACGGCCCCTTTGATTGCTGAGTGTCTTCACAATGGAAGACGTCAGTAAAACCGGGTGAGGACATGCTGTCGACAGATTATTTTTTATAACACTGACAAAGACTGAAGTTTATTTGACGTTAAAAATGTAATTAGTAGGTAGGCTAGTTAGTTAAACTGTGTTGTAAACATCCTACCTGACGTCTTCCCTGTATGTTTCCCCGTATACCGCCACACATCACCTGAAGACAGGTGATTCTTTTTAGAATACTGATTTATACGTCCTTACGTCACAATTATAAAAGAGGTCTACTGTGCGACGTACGACACGCTTGCTCTGAAACGACCGAGGGTAAATGATAAATGCACAAGGAAAAAAAAAACATTTTCAGTCTTTCAGGTTTTTCTTAAACACATTTTCGATTTTATGAACATTCGAAAAAGGCTATTTGATAGTACATATGCACATGCGCACTGAAGGCAAAGCGCCGTTAGGAAGCATATAAGTAATAAAAAAAAGTTTAGTTTTTTTTGTCGTAACCACCAAAAATAAAGACCCCCAGCCGTATTATTTACACTTAACTTCTCTTAATCACTCAATTACACGTAGACGCTGTTCCCACGACCTTACTAGATGTTTAATGGGTATGTTAGTTACTTTCGACCCATTTGGAGACCCTGCATGTAGACTTTATGCAAACCCACCTTGAACCCGACTTGTGTGTGTATTGTGAGGGATGAGGTGTCAAGATTAAGTGCAAAGTGTATTCCAAATGAGTAGGTACCACAGGGGATCCGTGAGACGGTAGTGCAGGACTACACCCCCTACTAGGTTTCCTGTATATTAGAACGGTTAACATCCCCTGTGTTTAGGACAAGTTCCCTTTCATGGGAACTTCGAGCTGCGTCCTCTAGGGGTCGCTATGGGGAACACCTCGTCGTGACCCGTGTCTGAAGCATACATTGAAAAAACACCAACTCGTTGGCCGGCGACAGCCATGACATATGCTGCGGACGCAAGCTTCAGACGAAGAAGTGAATGATGTGTGCTCCCGGTGCCTATTTATACTATAGTCGCACCGGTAGTGACGTCATGGCTGTCGCCGGCCAACGAGTTGGTGTTTTTTCAATGTATGCTTCAGACACGGGTCACGACGAGGCGTTCCCCATAGCGACCCCTAGAGGACGCAGTGTCTCGTTCCCTACTCAGGGAACCATGGTTACACAAGTAACCTGAGACGTTTTTCCTCACATAGCCTACGGCATGCTGCAGAGAGCACGATGAAGGTAGTCTGAAGTCCTGCTGCTAATTATATAACACTATTCGCAAGCCAATAAGGACCACACTCAGGATAATGTGTGCTTAAGCATATTATAATTACAGTAACTGTTACCTTTGTAGATGTAAGCGACTTGGTGTGACCGGAATAAGAGCTATTGCTGATAAATTTGATAACACCGCACAGAACCATCTTCGCGATTTGTACAACCAGAAGTTAGCAAGCAATCAATGCACTTTAAAAATGTCAAAAGAACTGTTTCTGAGATCAAATTCTAACATTTTGACTGGTTAGGGCAGGCAATGCTACCAAAAAGTATTTACATAATAAAAAGTGAAGTCATTATAATTTTTTTTAACTACAATCGTTGTTTTTTTTTAGCATTTGTACTTTTAAATAACCGTAGGGGACAGAAAAGTTCCACTAATAGAAGACTTAACAAGTTCATAAACAATTTACCCTGCAACTGGACTGATAAGCCATTTTACAAGAAATTGTCATGACATATCATCACCAGTAGGTGGCACTCATTGATAGAAGATGGTTCTGCTATTTGCTGAAATGCTTGGCTTCAACCTCGTAGTAGAACTCTTTTAAAATTTCAAACAACATTTCTTTACTATTAATTACAATTTATGGCATAATTCAGCTCATGACAAAATTACAGTAAATTTCTGATTTCAAGTTGTTTTCCAGAGAGTTAACAGATTATTTATTGCGCTATAAGCATTTAACAGCAGATGGCGCATTGGAACAGTGAATTGATTCCATTAAGCTCAATTGATTTAGGTTATAAATTAATTTGACTGATTTGAAAAGTAATGTAAGATTCATTTGAAACACATAAGTGCACTTAAATGTGCAAATCATGCCTGAAAGTGTTGTTGCACGGACATAAACACAATGTGATAATATTATGACAGAATTGACTCTGAAGGCATTTCTATTGAGGAAAGTAAATCAATCAAACAATTAAGTGCCCTTTAAGCTGCTGACCCCAGTGACGGGTTTCGTAACCCAAGCACAACAAGGTCCCATGACAACATCAACAGCTCTGATCCTGTGACTGTGCCGTCTATAATTAGCCGGTGGAACTGGAACAGCCTGGGTGATGAAAGCTTCAGGTAACAAGGAGACAGAATCTCTGCCTTCTAGAGCCTCTGCAGCAGACAAGCAAAACAGTGACTTCTGCAAAGACAAATGCCATCAATTTGAATGCATCATGTTCGTCACTAACTGTGCACACTACTTGCATCAGGATGAGAATTGGGAGTCACGAGTCCTTATCATGCAAGGGAGTTTCGATCAACCGGCTCGTGCAATTTCAGGATGTGCCCAAAGATTATAGATGTGAGAAAAATACGATACATTCACCATTCCTTTCCCATATATGTGCTACACTTGCGATTCAAACCCGAATATAAATGAAAACTGAGCTTCATTAAGTTTTGTACATGATGCAAAGGTTTCAGATATAACTGCAACATGCACATCGAAAGCAACAGGGAAAGGCCATCGTTTCCATAAGGAAATTCCATCGTACTCAGTACAAACAAATTGATAGCTATTAAAGTACACGTTGTACTCTCTGTTTGGGCATTGATTCCCCGAATCAGCCCACGTGGGGACTAAGCAGGAGTTTCCCTCACCACCAATGGCAAAGCGAGAGCGAGACGCTTGAGGAACATTTCTAACCAATGAGAAAGACGAGCGGCTTGCAAGGCCGCGCCCACTCGAAAGCGGTATATATATATATAGGCGAGGGTTTCGCTAGAAGTCGGCAGAAACAACTTCTCAGATAGCGAAACGAGCAAAGGAATACTACAACTCCAAACGATATTTGGATTATACTTTTGGCAGCACACTTTGACTGGATTTTAATATTTCCGAGCTCTTCCGGAGACTTGTGGATCACTATTATTTGGATCAAAATGACCCTGGAAGAAGTCGTTGGATGCAATATTACTGATAAAAAGTAAGTTCTTCATTGCATGCATACATATCCAATGTGACTCTCCTCAATGGGTATCTTAGTGTATAGAGAACTATCCGATTGTCGCTTACAATAGTATGCATGTTTTTACAGAATGGACACCGTGAGCCAAGCATTGGAAGAGCTGCTGGTAGCAGCACAGAGACAGGACTGTCTTACAGTCGGCGTTTATGAGTCTGCAAAACTGATGAATGTGTAAGTATATACTTATGTCTGACTTTTACACATGTAACCATACTGTTTTATCCTAACAAACAGGAGACTAAATGCAATTCATTTGATCTACAGAGACCCAGATTGTGTCGTACTGTGCGTTCTGGCCACCGATGAAGAGGACCAGGACGATATTGCGCTGCAGATTCACTTCACGCTCCTTCAGGCGTTCTGCTGCGACAACGACATCAACATCCTGCGGGTGTCTGGACTGAGACGCCTCGCACAGGTGCTCGGTGAGCCAACCGTGGATAACAGCGAGCCAAGGGATTTCCACTGCATCCTAGTCACTGTAAGTAGACTTTAATTCGCAAGCTGCGTTATCATATGCAACGTGCATTCAGAGTTAAATAAGTTAATATCTTATGACATCGACTTACGTTCCATTTCATGCATTTTCACAGAACCCTCAATGCCAACCACTCAAATGCCAGGCACTGAAGGACGTGGGCAACTACTGTGAAGAGAGCCGTTGCAAAAACCAATGGATTCCATATCTGTCCCTGCAAGAACGCTGAACGAGTTGCGAGGCTATTGATGCAATGAAGAATGAAAGAGTCATTCTCTGCGAATGAAAGCAAAAGGGCTCGGCACCAGCCGCCGTTGACTGCTGCGTCATGCGAAGGGGCTGTGAGAGAGAAAGCGGAGCTCTTGGAACTGTGCGCACGGACCGGTACATTCCGCCCTGCCCCTCCAGCTTGTCGTGTCCTCCGTTGGGGAAAAAGTGGGCGTTTTGGGTACCGGAGGAACAAGTTGTGGGAACATGAACTGTGAAACGCTGCCTGTCGGCGCAAGCTGCCGGAGAACTTGCACGCAGGCGGCTTGGGCGCGCGGTCGCCCCCGGCTTCATATGTGCAGTGTGGGTTGGAAAGCAACGAGTGTGCGTCACTATCACTGACTGCGGGACGAGTGGATGATCTGTGTGTATATGCCGGACTTTAGTAGCCTAACTATGAACTGCAGTAGCATTGATGCCAAGCTACAAATGAACTGCAATCGCTTCTGTTAGACTGCACTGAGAAGGACAGTGTTTGTGAAACAAAATGAACTCTTGAGTTATTGAAAAATACATGCTATGAATTAATGTAAGTTATATCCAGTAATTTAAATAGAGTAATATATGCATTGCTACTCTTGTCAAATGCAATATTGTTTTCAATAAATTATTGACTTTGAATTGTACACCTCTGTCTGATGTTTTGCTTTTGGGAGGGGGAGGGGGGGTGTATCTTATGAGTGACACTACAGTCTCAAAACAATATTCACTTGGTCAAAATAACAACATTTCCTGGTGAACTTCCCTGAAAAGTCTTGCCAAATTTAGCCTGGACTCTATGGCAATAAGTGAAAGGGAATTGCCCCACTGGGGTGTGGATACATTCAGAGGAAATGTTAAGAAAGCTCTAAGTGAAGGACAAACAAATCACACAGTTTGCCAAAGGATAGTCTTAATATCCTCTTGTCCTGGAATCAGCGTCATATCCTTACTGATACACAGTTAATTATGACACCGTACTGACAGGAATGCAGACTTTACAAGTAATTCATGTCGAGTTTTGTCTGCTTTGGCAAGCTTTGCTCCTTCATAAAGAGATTGGGCAGGGCTTGCATAACTTCCAGAAAAGGATCTGACAACATGATCCATATTAAATAGCTTTTCAGTACGTGATCTAAGGTTATATTACAGATATCTTATCACAGGTATCTTACTCTCTGTATAGCAATCTGCAACTGTTTATGTAACAGATCATTTGTGACAGTAGGCTGCATTTTACAACAGCAGTCTCACTGGGCAGACTGGGATTGTGTTTTCTTCAAGGGCAAAATGGTGATGCTATAGTTTATGCTTCCTGTCATCCTGTCACAGCTTGGTCTGGGTTACTAGGGCAAAGCTTTAACTATTAAGCTACCACAACCCTTCGGTAAAACTCTGGCACACTTCTTTGTGAGCTTTGTTTTTCCAGATCCATCCAGTTGCTGTTCAGGTCAGCGTTGTGAACTCTAGAAAGGTTAAGAGCTGCATGTGCTAACAGTTTCTTATAAAACAAACAGTGCATCTTATGAGATTCTACAAGCAAATCAACCACCATCCTGGTATTTAGATAACTATAATATTTATTCTGAATCAGATGCAAGTTGTTGTGATATTCTTTGAGCATTACTGTTAATCTAAAGCAGCAAATGCTAGTATTTTACTGCCACTGCCAAAGTGAACTCGATATTAATGATTAAAGATAGATTTGTTATCAAGGGATAATAATAGAAATGAGGAATCAGAGTTTCCAATTTTAGTGTCCTCTGAGATGAAAGACATGGACTATTTTCAGGGCATTCCCTGAGCTGACTGTGCGTCTGACGTAAGCCCGTTTCTGATTACGCAGTGGAACCCCGGAAACGTCATTGACCATTTAAGGGCAAATCTGGAAAGCGCCGAGTTTGTCAATTCTACTCAACACCAGCGCGAAATATAATAATTTAAACCAAATTTTCAGTGTTTCAAGCATCACACTATGCATGTTTGTTTGGCTAGAGCATCTCCTAACTGCTCACCGGCTGAGTCGTGCCCAGCACTTCTGCCGCCGGTATGTGAGGAATGCGGAAACTGTGTTTCCATAGATGTGCAGCGTGAGCGCGCGAGCCGTTTCCCACGAGGTACTAGAATGAATCATGCTGTTTTTTTGTTCTCTCTTATCGTGGTCATAGGAAAGAGTCCGGAATGAGATGAGAAAACAGTCCTGATGACATATGCTCTGTAACGATTCTAAACGTGTGGACTATGATGGACATTTAGTTTATTGTCATTACAGTCCATTTCTCAGGATAGGATATTATCAGGAAATCATTTTTTCAAAATCAGCATTTGTATAGACACATTAGGACCGGTTCCAGCAGGTTGCTTCTGAAATTAGTGAGGATGCTCTAGCATTAATGCACATCTATTTTGACATTTATTTTTGTCCGTCCATTGCTATGATTATCAATATATCACTTGCAGTTTTGAGAGTGAATCCTGCATTTCTCTCTCTCTCTCTCTCTCTCTCTCTCTCTATATATATACTGCAATTAATCTCTAATTTACATCGTGTCTATGTTTTGTTAAAATGAGAACTCAGCGCTGTACAAATACTTCGGCGTTTTCAGCATTGAGAGTTTCTAAACGCCTCTGATTGGCTGTTGCGTTCCAAAAAATCAACAGATATGTCTGTGATTGGCTACATCGCACAACGCTGCAAAAACATGACGTAAATAGAAACCTTTGACGGTCTCCTGAGCGGAAAGCTGCAAACACAAATACAATAGTTTAAAGGGGTCCTATTATGCTCTTTTACAAAGTCTTGATTTTGTTTTGGGGGTGTACTAGAACATGCTCTCATGCTTGGTGGTTCGAAAAACGCATTATTTTTCACATAATTTACATTATTAAAATACCTTTCTCCCCAGGCTGGCACAAACGGCTTGATTAGTTCCGGCTTTGATGAAGGTCCGCCTTCCGAAAAACAAAATGTGTTGTGATTGGTTAGCTGTCCCAGTGCGTTGTGATTGGCGAACAGCTTAGACGGTGTTTCATTACTGCCATGCCCCTTGCTCCGTCTTTCAACAAAAGCTTTTGGGCGAATCCGGCACTGTACTCCCTCGTGTTGTGGAAGCTGTCCTCAGTAAAATGCGCAGCACACAATAGCAAATTGGGGTTATAATGCTCAGGAACAGAGTTAAAAAATAAATTGCAAGCACTGTTTCCTGACATCATCCGCTTTCGGAAGCCCAAACAAAGACGTGAAAAAAAAACAGCGTTTCAGGCAGTCGCGCAGCGTCGCGCCACATCTTTAAAATTCAAATACATTATTTTCTATGAGTGTAGGCACACCGGCGGCGCCGTTCGGCATCTGTCCGCGGCGCCAAGCTACGTCGTGTTATACTTGTAAGAATTGTTCTAGACATGCCGACAGCACAGCAGCTCTTCTTCTTGGTTTTCTCTGATGCGCTAACTCTGCAGCAGCACTTCTTCTTCGTCGTCTCGTCTGATGCACTCACTCAACCAAGCGTTCTAACCACAACCTCGCCCCTCCCCACCCCCCAACAATTAGAATTTCTGTAGGCGGGAATTATTTGTAATGATATTCCAATGAGCCGCTTTGTGATATCACAAACCCCGGAAAACAAACGCTGTAGTCCAAACGAGCCGTTTGTTGTAGTTCTTGAAAAGGGATTTTTTAAAAACGAAATATCTCGCTTTGGAGTGGATTTTGAGATTTGTAACTTTCTAGATCTTTTTTTTATGCCCAAACATACACACTACACACTGACTAAAATTAAAAAAGTGAAAAAGCATAATAGGTTAAAAGGTAAAAGGTACATTGACGTACATAGAAATATGTTTGTGTTACTACAAATCCCATCTCTAAATTATTTTCAAAAACTTGACCAGACAGAAGTGTACAGGAATAGATACACCTACACAAACTGACTCTAAAAAGAAAGAGCAGTTCAGTATTTTTAAAAGCACTCATAGGCAGAAACTCTGGGGCCCTGCTGAAATTTTCCCTTCCCATAAAGCCTTGATCTGTGTGTGCGATGTAATGACTATGTGCCACCCAGTCTGTTTCTGTTCGACTCTGGTCTCTGAGGTCGTCAGGTACATTCAGGCTGGCAGCAGTGCTTCTTTCCACCCCCACCCAAATGAGCAGCCAAGACATGACTCTGGCCAAGTTTATGACCCATCCTGTATTAAACAGACAGTAAAACCATAGATTGTGAATGCTCTAATTTTCATTGCGCTGTGCTGTAAGTCTTTAATCAGCACTTTATCTCAGCACTATAAACACATTGCTCATGCTTAATTAAAGCTACCAATTACTAGGTTACAGCAGATGTTGACAGTGTTTTTAGAGAGAGGGGCTGTATGGCTCGCCAGCTTACAAAGAACAAGGATATTGATGATATATATATATATATATATATATATGATACATATATATAATGAAATAATAATAAAGCATGATATGATTAAGTATTAAGTATTAATTCAGAAATGGAAAGCTTAAAAAAACTAAAAGATGTAAAATATTGTATTTTTTTATACAATAAAATTGTATAAAATTGTATCTTTGTATTAATAAAACATTTTTTTAATTATTTACTTTTATTGTTATTTTGTATACATCTGTTGTGATTATTTTATGATTATTTTAAATCATTTTTATGCAATGCACTTTGAATTACCATTGTGTATGAAATGTGCTCTGTAACTGTAAGGTTACACATGCAACATCTTTGAACAGTAATCTGGTGCTGCTTTCATGAAAACCATCTTGAGGTTCTCTAGTTACTGGTCTCAGTCATCTTGACTGCTGCAGGAATCAGCTGGGCGACTGGTGAGTTTAAGTTCTGCGTGCCACTTGTCACCTGCAGTCAGGGTGGAAACAGGGAGTGGATGAGCTTTAAGAATACGTGCTGTTATACGGCACACTCGCACTGCAGCTGACCAGACAATAGCTAGCTGTGTGTTCCTCTCCAGACTGCTGGAAAAAGCGTGCACGTGTGCTCTGCCCTATAGAGGCGTCACACTGCAGCACAATGGCAGAACCCCTCAGTGGCTTAAAAGACTTAATTTGCCTGAATGAGACTGGTGACTGGAGTCGAAAGTTCTGGCGAGTGCTGACGTCAAGCCAGTGAGAGAAGAGTGTGGGGGGGGGGGACAGAAACAGAGAGCCTTTTCTTTCACTTGGCAGAAGCCCCGGCTGATTTAAAGTTGCTGACAGTTTTTAGTTCAGACTGCAGGCCTATTAATAGAAAGGCCTGCCGGAGTATTTTTAGCACAACAAGGCTATATTTATATCTCAGGGAGTGGTGGCCTTGCAGATAAAATAAGGGGCTTCTTGATTCTGTAATGGATGTAAAAAAACCCAAGACGGATTCTCTCGCCCCTCCTGTGGTTCTGCTGAATTGGCCCGAAACTTTTTTGCCTTGATTGAGAGCGCAACAGAGCCTCTCTTTTTTAAGATGTGTGCAATGCTGGACGGTTGGGACTTAGCTGCCGTGCATCTTTGCCATAATTATAGACTTGTTTTAAGCCCCCTACCATCAGTTTAGCCCAAACTGTAACCAACAAGTCCTTCCACACCCGCACACTTATCATATGGACCCATATGTCAGTGATCCCCATGAAACCAGTCTTTAATTAAATAAAAACACACCTATTATACTGACCTCTATTATTAGGGTCAGTGACAAATTAAAAAATCTCTATTATCTATCTATCTATCTATCTATCTATCTATCTATCTATCTATCTATGTATAATATGTGTCTCTGTCTCAGCAACAGTAGATACACACAGGTGACTCACATCCAGAAATTTCTGCTTTATAAAATTTATTTTTAAAGCATATTATAAAACCGAGATGTGGCAGTTTTAATTATGTTCTCTCTTTCCATTCACTGTGGTGTCAGTGCTTCTGACTGAATCTGGCCAGCTGTAACCTTTTGTTCTTTTACTCTGACATCAATGAGAGTGCATTATTGTAAGTCTGCACATCTGATATCTTAGCTTTGAGAGAGAGCTGCTGCTGCTTATTTGGTCTTCAATCCAGAAGCATCGGCAGACGTCTGACTACGAGTGCTGCCCATTCTTCATATGAGTCATGACCTCCTCCAGAACTCAATAGACTCAGCCTTTACTGCCGTTTGAAGTGTCAGACCATCCGCAGTGAAGACACCAGTGATGCATCAGAAGAACATGTGTTGTGTAAGATGTGGAGTTTAAAAGATCTTTTTCTAGATCACTTTCACAGAGGGAAATTACATCCTGCTGAGACATTTATAAGATAAGAAATGAAATCGGATATCATCCAGAATTGCCTGCACTGACTCAGACAAGACATCTTAAGTGTAAAATCTGGCGCAACCATATCTGACAGAGCTTTTTTTTTTTTTTTACAGAACAGACTTATACAGTATATTACAGTCAGCTACATTTTTAGCAAGTGTGAATCAGAGAGCAATATCATGGTAACAATTAAACAAACCCTGGATTATGGGTGGTCTCATTTAGTGTTATGGGCAAGAAAAAAATATTGTGTTCTCTTTACAGTGGGGAGATCAAGGGCAAAATCTCTCTCCTGGTGGAGATTTTATTCAAAGTCTTAACAAGCACGACATGGCAGCATTTTCTACTGGTAATTTAATTGCCTTTTATTACTTCACACTTAACTCTGTCTTAAATATTCAGTATGAGGCTGCAGTATAATTTGAGCTTTTAAGTATTTCCAAGTGATAGGCTTTATTAATGCTGACAAAGAAAACTAACACAATACACTCTTCACGCTGCCTAATAATCCTGCATGCTGTTTATTATGCAGTGCCTGCATTTTATTTAGCAAGGGGTTGCAGCATTGCTATAGTTTGAGCTGTCCAAGTGGTGATCTTCATCCATGCTGACAAAGACAACAAAGAATGCACTGTACTCTTCAGGCATCACAATAAGCTAAGTAACGGACATTATCCATGCTGTCAAAAACAACCAAAACACACACACACACACACGCACGCACGCACGCACGCACACACAATATGCTCCTCAGACATCCTAATAAGCTTGCATGCTGTATTTCATGCATTGCCTGCATGCATCACAATTAGTAAGGTGTTGCAGCATTGCTATAGTTTGAGCTTTATGAGCTTCTGAGTGTTTCTAAGTGATGGACTTTGTCCATGTTGTCAAAAACAACCAACCAACCCATTCACCCACACACACACATCCACAAAACACTCTGCAGTCATCCCATCTTTGTTCATACCGACCAAGACAACAATACATGCACTATACTCTTTACATCTTGCAATAAATTTGCATGCTGCTTTTAATGTATTGCATACATGCATTTTCTCCAGGTGGGTTGTAGCATTGCTGTAGTTGATAAAACTTCTGTAGAAGTTTTTGTGTGTTTGTAAATGATGAACTTCGTCCGTGTTGTCATAAACAACCAACCCCCCTAGTAGTAAATTGTGTGTAGGGGGCCCCTACATTTACTCTTCAGTCATCTCAATAAGCTTGCATGCTGTTTTTCATGCAGCGCAAGCATGCATTTAATCTAATACGGGTTACAGTATCAAAATGGATTGATCTTTATGTATTTCTAAGAAATGAGCTTTGACAAAAACAACAATAAATGCACCATACTCTTCATGCTTTGCAATAATTTTGCATGCTGTTTTAAATACATTGTGTGCATGCATTTTCTCCAGTGAAGTGGAGTCTGAGCGTCTGTAAGTGATAGACTTTTTCCATGTTGACAAAAACAACCAACACAAATATTCTCCTCAGTCATCCCAATATGCTTGTATGCTGTATTTCATGCATTGCATGCATGCATTAAGATTAGTAAGGTGTTGCAGCGTTGTTAGAGATCGAGCTTTATGTA